TTTTTTTTTTTCTACAGTTATATCTGTAGTTTTAATTAAAATCAGTATTATAGTGATTTAGCCAAAAACATGTTTTTCTTCTAGGCAATCATCTGTTAACATGAAGCCCTCACAACTCCACGACGCATTCAGTTTAGTGAGAGAAATGGTGCTTTTATGGTTTATAATATTTATGGTTTCTATGTTCCCATTTTATTCAGCAGATATTTCTCTGTGCACATAGGTTCTCTGCAAAGCAAATGTACCACACTCAGTAGCTGACTTTTTGTATATTTAATGTTCTAGTATTTCCTCATCTGTGATTTCCACTTTTATTTACAAATGGTTTCTATAGACTTTCTAATCATAAAGTTTTAGTTTCCATGAAACTGTAATAGGATGAACCACAATTTGTGGCTAAATGCCATCTCAACTTTTAACAGTAGCAGTGTTTGTGGGAAAGTTACATTTGTATGAGAATAATGCTGTAGCAAAACTTAATCTACAATACTATCATGTTTACCAGTGTTACCGAGCTGTGTTTAGCTCAAACGGTTAGGTTTATTCTGCGTTTTTGTTTAAATAAATGTGTGGGTTGTAAATGTTGTCATACTGCCAAGCATCGACCATCACAATCATTCCTAGAAAAAAAAATTTTCTTTCCTGTCTTGCTCTTGTCAGATATGAACATGGAAAAATGGTCATACATTTTTATTTTACTGTTGTTTGTTTGTTTTTTTTGTTTCCTCACTGCCACTTGTATTTCAGGATTTTGATTTTTCTTTTTAAGGCTTTATTTTGTTCAGGTATTCTGTCTGATGTGCATTTATACCTCAATTTACAAAAGTCATGTCAGACTTGGGTCATGTCAAGGATATTAAGTATTAAACGCAATCTTTCTTTTTTCTTTCTTTTTTTTTCCATTGATGCTAAATCATGTCACTGTGAGTACACCTTAATGGTTGTAATACTGGATGGATGACTAAGGTGTTTTTGTTTAATGGCAGTGCTTTATATTAAGTTTCCTATGATGTGCTTTTTTTTTTTTTTTTTTCTTCTTTTTTTTGGATGTTTTGACTTAAGCTTTATAACTGTGTGGCCTCTGTAGAGCTACATGCATTCAAAACGTGATCATTCAATTTCATGTGACTCGCAACTGACTGCTGGTAGTATGGCTGACTGTTGTGCCTTAAACCTACAACTGATTAAGATGTCTCATTTTATATTAAAGACTTAAACAGTCTGTGCAATATATGCCTTAAATTTAAAATGTCTTGTCTTTTTTTTTTTCTTTTCTTTTTTTGTATGAGCCTTTCAAGGAAATAAAATTTCAAAACTGTTTATAAATGTTTCATTTGTCTTTGTTTTGCTTCTGAAAGCAAATTGATCACTTGTGAGTTCCTTCTGTGCAGTAGTGGGGTTGACCTTGATTTCTTCAAACATCTTGGCTAAAATTCAGAAATTTAAAAACCTTTGAAGCTGCTTTTAAAGGTTTAAATATCGAAGTTTCTAACTTGCAATCTGTCTATCATTGTGAGGTGTTTCGTTTAAAAAAACAAAAACAGGAAGCATTCTTTTTTTTTTACTTTTAGCAAATTACAATATTTTATGACAAAATATCTATTTGAAACAGCTTTCAAATAGCATGTTTATTTTAGCCCATCTACTACAGTGTGTGTGTGTGTGTGTGTGTGCGCGCGCACATGTACTCCCAGATATGTTTTTAATCTAAACGAGTAAAAATATGATTCTGTAGGGTTTATGGTGACACTTGTGTCTTTATATACAGAGGCAAGACGTTTTATTACAATTGGACCAATTTAATGGGACAAATTGATTTGCTGTTGAGGAAAATCTTTATTTTACTGTCCAGATGCTATAATAGCAACCCGACACCTAGATTTCTTCTGGTCTATGATATGAGATTTAAAAATTTAAGCAACTAGAAAGGGGTGGGGGGGGGTTGCAACATACAACAGCTCATGCATATTTGTTTCTGTTCATATGTAAGTCATGTAAACATAGCTGGGATGTCATATTTCTCAAAATGAATCCAATGTTTCTTTCTGTCCTACCTCAAAGGCTCAGCCTAACAAGCAGAGAAAAAAAGTGTTACATTTTAATCAAATTTATTAAAAACTGGTGCAGTGTATCCATTCTCTTTAAACCCCTGATAAAGACACAAAACAACCAAAAACCACTCATGTCAGTAAATGTGTGTTAGTGAATATGTACTTATTTAGTTAACGCTGCAACGTGAAGTAGCTGTAAGTAAATATTTATTGGTTGCATTCCAGCTCAATTTAAGTATCTGGCAGTTATGTAAAGCACAGAATACTGTACTGCAGCTTTGTAGGGAAAAAAGCGCTGTCATGAAATGCTAGAAATGTTTTAAAAATACGCCAAACACACTCTCCACTCACTTTATTTGCCTGAGAAATTTCAAAACTGAATTCCTTCAACAACACAGACATACCCGATCCTTTAACAAATACACACAACCAGCTGACGGGAGGATGATCTCACTTTTGACTGCCATTCCTAGTGACCATTTCAACTACAGGAAATATTTGCACCACATTTGATTGTCTAAACCGAATAAAAATGATGAAAGGTCAGGTTTTTTTTTTCTTTAATCTGTTTTCATCATACAAGGATATATATTAGACAGAAAAGGAGACAAGTTGCGCAGGTGTGGTAGCTAACTGGCAGGAAGAGGTAAACATGGCTGGTATTGTATGAAGTACGTCAAATGGCCTCTGCACAAATACACAGATATGCTTAATGCATCTCCAAAATCCAATCATGTTGTCTACAAAGGCCAGAAAAACTGCAGTCAATGTGGATGAAGACAGGTGCAACATCTGGAATGATGTTTAAATGTAAAAAACAAAAAAAGTGGATCTCAAATTACTTCAGACATGCCACCCTTGTTAAACATGTAGGTATTTAAATGTACAATAATTTATTTCTGCCATTTTATAAAAGATATACTTCAGTCCTACATGAATTCCTTTCAAATCTGCAAGATTGACAAAGACAGGAGCTACAGATGGATTTGTGGTGCAGCATGTGTGCAGGGGGGAGGCCAGAGGCAGTCATTTTCTCCCTCTACTCGTCATCCTTGTCTTTGGCGCCATGTTTGAGGATGCGGGTGAACTCTGCATAGTTGAAGTTGCCCTTCTTGTCGATGGGAGCCTCCCGAAATAGTTCGTCCACTTCTTCATCTGTGAAGCGGTCACCCATGGTGGTCAGCAGCTCTCTCAAATGGTCCTCGTGGATCACACCTTGGACGTGGAGAATTGAGAGGGGAGTTAATGATCCGAGCCCTGGCAGAGTGAAACGGGATTTGTGCGTGTGTGTACAAGATGCGTATTGACCCACCAGATCCCTCCTCATCAAAGCAGGCAAAGGCATTGCGGATGACATCCTCGGGGTCTGTTCCATTGAGCCTCTCTCCAAACATGGTAAGGAACATGGTGAAGTTAATGGGCCCTGGTGCTTCGCTCATCATCCCCTCCAGATATTCATCAGAAGGGTTCTTACCTGAGGAAGAATATCGTCACATGCATCCATCGCTCATCTAGGAATTAACATCTTGTTGTCTGATAATAAGAAATAATCGGCCCAAACCAGCAAGTGTGGATGAACATTTAAGTGTCACTTATAGTTAGTTTACCTGGAATCACAGGTCTTTGCTATTCTTGTTGTGGTCCTTACATACTCAACCCAAGATCCATTTTAATTGCACATTTTCCTGCTTTTGGTAATCCTGTTTTAATAAATATTTCAAGTATTCTTTCGTACTCTTATGTACAATTTGAAGTGGTAATGACTTCCACCTCAACACCCCTCTAAAAATCAACATTTTCTGTATATTATTTGATTCAGCTTTCAGCCATGTGAATCTCCTTTCTGTTGCAAATCCTATTTAACAAGTATATTGACTAAAATTGCAAAAGTGTCTTTAATATAGTCAGTGTTGGTCAAGTTACTTGAAAAAAGTAATCAGTAACCAATTACTGATTACTTCCCCAAAAAAGTAATCCCGTTACTTTACTGATTACTTATTTTCAAAAGTAATTAATTACTTAGTTACTTTTTAAAAACACGATTTATAACCTGAATAGGTGATAAAGCGATAGATCTTTCAGCCCAATTCTACTTTTTCTACATAATCCATCATATAAAATGTAATCAAATGGAAAAGTCTCTTTTTAAAATTTGAGCTAACGGGAGGTCGAGACCTACTACAGCCGGGAGGAACACCGCTTTCCC